AGTGCCATGCACACAGGATCCCACGGACCAAAAGTTACCCCCCCCCACAAATAAACCCTCCCACAGCCCGAAAGATATGAGTCATTGCACACGCCCGGCCGCTCCCCCTCAGTTACAGATTCCGTTCACCGGCCCAGATCCCTCAGCCCACACACGAATCACACACGCCCACAGTCAGAATTCAGATTCCCCGGTGCCTGCGCGCACACACAGTACACCTGTCACCCAGAGATGGTTTCCACCCTGCCTTCCAAAACACAGCCATGTGCGCCCTCCAGCTTTGTTCGATTGCCAGGTACTCCAGATCCCTCCCAGCTCCAGCTCCTGAGGAGCAGCTCTCCCTGTAAAGGGAGGGTGCCAGCCGCGGAGCAGGGCTCAGATACAGATGACTTGCGGCTTTGTTTCCACTTCAAATACACGTTTAGGCAGTTAATGCCCCCTTGAAGGGGGAAAAACCCTCATCTAAACAAAGTCAGTGACCACTGGTCGTGTTTTTGGTGCTTGGCCAGGAATATGTGAAAAGTAAACTGTTTTTTTTTTTTTTTAATCCAGATGCTCAATTTTGGAGGAAGCAGGTCCATGGACACGGGTATTAAGCCAATAGGAACTCATTTCAGAAACAAAAGGCAATTGGAGATCAAAGCATCTCCTCAGAGAGCCTCTCAGCCCCTTTGGGGAGGGAAAAGTCTCCATGAGGTGAAAGGAGAGGGGAAAGCAAATAACTAGTTCTTTGTGGCCAATAATAGCTGAGAAAGGGGTGTAGCTGAAAACTCCCCCCATCCAGCACAGCCCCGGGGCGATGTAACGAGCTTTATATTAGGAAGCCTAACTGGGCTGGTGAGGAACTAAGTATCAGCGTCCTCCGAAAATAGCCCTCCGCCGGCTGGCCAGTGAGTAGCCCTCGCTGACGCTAACAGTTCGCGCAGCAAACCTAGGGAAAGGGGGCCGTGCGCCCAGAGAGGACGCCCCTGGGGGAAAATGGTGATGGTGGCGGTAGCGGGTGGGCAGGAACGTCTGCCCTTTCTCTTCAAGACTGTTTCTTCCTCATCTGCTGCCAGGCCTCCACAGCTCGAAAGACAGCTAGCTATCAACCATGAGCTGATAATTCTGTATAAAACATTCCTTAGGTCCTTACATGTCAGCAAGAGATTAGATTTGTGAGCCCTGGAAGAGAGAATGATGTTTGTTTGAATTTTCTGCAGTGGTCCATCCCTTCTTGGATTAGCCACTCCCCAATTTGTAGTATCCTGGCTTGTGAAAGGTCACATGGTCGATGAAGGTGGCACTGCAAGGGGTCCTGGCCCCGCCGAACAGGCCCTGTGGACTGGAGG